CCTACCACCTACCTTGTGTAAATATACAAGCAGCCCTGTACACCTACCACCTACCTTGTGTAAATATACAAGCAGCCCTGTACACCTACCACCTACCCTGTGTAAATATACAAGCAGCCCTGCACACCTACCACCTACCTTGTGTAAATATACAAGCAGCCCTGTACACCTACCACCTACCTTGTGTAAATATACAAGCAGCCCTGCACACCTACCACCTACCCTGTGTAAATATACAAGCAGACCTGTACACCTACCACCTACCCTGTGTAAATATACAAGCAGCCCTGTACACCTACCACCTACCTTGTGTAAATATACAAGCAGCCCTGTACACCTACCACCTACCTTGTGTAAATATACAAGCAGCCCTGCACACCTACTCTGTGTAAATATACAAGCAGCCCTGCACACCTACCACCTAATCTGTGTAAATATACAAGCAGCCCTGCACACCTACCACCTAATCTGTGTAATTATACAAGCAGCCCTGCACACCTACCACCTAATCTGTGTAAATATACAAGCAGCCCTGCACACCTACCACCTAATCTGTGTAATTATACAAGCAGCCCTGCACACCTACCACCTAATCTGTGTAAATATACAAGCAGCCCTGAACACCTACCACCTAATCTGTGTAAATATACAAGCAGCCCTGCACACCTACAATGTGTAAATATACAAGCAGCCCTGCACACCTAACACCTACCCTGTGTAAATATACAAGCAGCCATGCACACCTACCACCTACCCTGTGTAAATATACAAGCAGCCATGCACACCTACCACCTACCCTGTGTAAATATAAGCAGCCCTGCACACCTACAATGTGTAAATATACAAGCAGCCATGCACACCTACCACCTACCCTGTGTAAATATAAGCAGCCCTGCACATCTACTACCTACCCTGTGTAAATATAAGCAGCCCTGTACACCTACCACCTACCCTGTGTAAATATACAAGCAGCCCTGCACACCTACCCTGTGTAAATATACAAGCAGCCATGCACACCTACCACCTACCCTGTGTAAATATAAGCAGCCCTGCACATCTACTACCTACCCTGTGTAAATATAAGCAGCCCTGCACACCTACCACCTACCTTGTGTAAATATACAAGCAGCCATGCACACCTACCACCTACCTTGTGTAAATATACAAGCAGCCCTGCACACCTACCACCTGCCTTGTGTAAATATACGAGCAGGTATGTACACCTACTACCTACTCTGTGTAAATATACAAGCAGCTCTGCACACCTACCCTGCGTAAATATACAAGCAGCCATGCACACCTACCACCTACCCTGTGTAAATATACAAGCAGCCCTGCACACCTACTACCTACCCTGTGTAAATATAAGCATCCCTGCACACCTTCCCTGTGTAAATATACAAGCAGCCCTGCACACCTACCACCTGATCTGTGTAAATATACAAGCAGCACTGCACACCTACCACCTACCCTGTGTAAATAAACAAGCAGCCATGCACACCTACCACCTACCCTCTGTAAATATACAAGCATCCATGCACACCTACCACCTAATCTGTGTAATTATACAAGCAGCCCTGCACACCTAATCTGTGTTAATATACAAGCAGCCATGCACACCTACCACCTAATCTGTGTAAATATACAAGCAGCGGTGCACACCTACCACCTAATCTGTGTAAATATACAAGCAGCCCTGCACACCTACCACCTAATCTGTGTAAATATACAAGCAGCCCTGCACACCTACTACCTACCACCTACCTTGTGTTAATATACAAGCAGCCTTGAACACCTACCACCTACCCTGTGTAAATATACAAGCAGCCCTGCACACCTACCACCTACCCTGTGTAAATATACAAGCAGCCCTGCACACCTACCACCTACCCTGTGTAAATATACAAGCAGCCATGCACACCTACCACCTACCCTGTGTAAATATACAAGCAGCCCTGCACGCCTACCACCTACCCTGTGTTAATATACAAGCAGCCTTGAACACCTACCACCTACCCTGTGTAAATATACAAGCAGCGCTGCACACCTACCACCTACCCTGTGTAAATATACAAGCAGCCATGCACACCTACCACCTACCCTGTGTAAATATACAAGCAGCTCTGTACACCTACCACCTAACTTGTGTAAATATACAAGCAGCCCTGCACACCTACCACCTACCTTGTGTAAATATACAAGCAGCCATGCACACCTACCACCTACCTTGTGTAAATATACAAGCAGCTCTATACACCTACCACCTAACTTGTGTAAATATACAAGCAGCCCTGTACACCTACCACCTACCCTGTGTAAATATACAAGCAGCCCTGTACACCTACTACCTACCACCTACCCTGTGTAAATATACAAGCAGCTCTGCACTCCTACCTTGTGTAAATATACAAGCAGCCCTGCACACCTTCCCTGTGTAAATATACAAGCAGCTCTGTGCACCTACTACCTACCACCTACCCTGTGTAAATATACAAGCAGCCCTGCACACCTACCTCATGTAAATATAAATGCAGCGCTGCACACCTACCTTGTGTAAATATACAAGCAGCCCTGCACACCTAATCTGTGTAAATATACAAGCAGCCCTGCACACCTACCCTGTGTAAATACAAGCAGCCCTGCACACCTACCCTGTGTAAATACAAGCAGCCCTGCACACCTACCCTGTGTAAATACAAGCAGCCCTGCACACCTACCACCTAAGTCAGTGCAGGTGCAGACAACATTGCTGCATGATTATCGATGACAATATGCTGTTGTGACTATTGATTCATGACTGCATCTGGGACACTGGGCAATACAGGGGTTGTTGAACACATTATACTATACACAATACTACCTACTGATAGAGATCGTTTTATCCCATAATCCAGTTATTTTTCAAAAGCTACCAGTTTGAAATCAGCTGTATTTGACCAACAGTGTCTTCCCCTGCCTCAGTTGTGTGTTACCACTTCAGCCATACTATTCACTGCACTCATGCAATCTTATTACTTGGTGCTTTACAAAATGATTGATTCTCTGTGTGCTTAACTAATAATAATTATGAATATATTTGTCATACATCACTTGTGAAATCAGCATTGATTTCTGTAACCACTGATGCAAGTGAATGCACAACTTTTTGGACTGCATAACAATTATAGGACAGTTTGATGACAAGAACCTGAAGGCTTTATGACTAAATATTATAGTCTATTTTAGTCTATTTTATATAATTTTCCAGAAGTTTATATTTAAGGAAAAAGCACCAGACCAAATAAAGTGTTACTGTTTATCATAAATATCTAAGCTCAATATTTTTTAATGATTAAAATATATGTCATACATGGTTACATTAATTGTGAAGAGCAGATCAGAGAGTGTGAATCTGCAGACTAACTTACAGGATTAAATTAACTTTCAAAACGTTATGCTGTGTGTTTGGTCCCTAATTCAAGTAAGTGTGGTTAAATCTGCAAGAAACCAAGTTCTACATTGCATGCATTAAACACACAGTAGTGTTTTCTCAGTTCTACCACGACAAAATGAAGCGTGACTTTGGTCATAGCAAAGATATGGTGAATGAAGGTACAATGGTTGAATCCAATGTTTTGAGCTGATCTGAAATTTAGGAAACTCTGATATGTGATTTGATACCTCAGAGATTGATTGTTGAGTGAGTGAGTGAGTGAGTGAGTGAGTGAGTGAGTGAGTGAGTGAGTGAGTGAGTGAGTGAGTGAGTGAGTGAGTGAGTGAGTGAATTTCTGGTGTCCCCCTCAGTGATATTGCTGGAGTATTGCTGAAAGCGGCGTAAAATCAAACCCACTCACTACAAACTAGGTCTCAATAGTAAATTACCGTCCGCCACGCGAGGTGAGGTGAAATGGGGTTTAACGTCGCGTCCAAGATTATTGCACTTATATGTGTATGTGTGTGTATGTGTATGTGTGTGTATGTGGCTGCTTGTACTTGTCCGGACTGATGCCGATTTTTTAGTGCTAACTCACTGAGATACCATGGCGCAGTTTAACATGAATACCCCACTCAGACACAGTATACTGACTCCGAGCCGACCAGTCCTTGTTTTAGCCCCTTAATGCCGAGCGCCAGACAGGGTAACAACAAGTACCATCTTTTAACGTCTTTGGGTATGACACGGCTGGGGATCGAACCCCGGACCTTCTGCTCTCCGGGCGGACGCTCTACCACTTGATCACGGAGGCGGTTCGTCCGCCAAGTGAGTGAGTGAGTGAATTTCTGGTGTCCCCTGTCATGATATTGCTGGGATATTGCTGAAAGCGGCGTAAAATCAAACTCACTCACTCACTACAAACTAGGACTCAATAGTAAATTACCGTCCGCCAAGGGAGTGCGTGCGTGCGTGCGTGCGTGCGTGCGTGGAGTGAGTGGAGGTCTTTCAGGAAGGGTATGGTGCTGACAAACCTAGAAAAAATCATGGCAAACTGGGATTCAAACCCACGGTTATTTGTTTCTAGCACACCTAAGGGACACAAGTCTGTACAGCGAATTCTGGAACGCCTAAGGAACAGCAAATTTGGTGCCTCAGATTAGTGGGCCACCAATGTCCCAGTGTCCAAAGAAAGGAAGATAACTGATGACATCTGATGTCCACAGGCAAACAAACAGTGACAGGAATACTACTGATCTGTGCATGTGATTTAGGGATCCAGAATATCAATAGTCAGAACTCAAGTACTGAAGTGACTTTTTTTCATTAATCTATTAATGACAACAGAACAAAACTTATTTTTTGCATCCACAGATACAGCTTATTGTCCACAATTAAAAAAAAATAGGTTCACCATGAATATCTGTACACCGTATTCAAGCTCATATAGACAAACCCACTAGCCATGACAACAACTAGTCTTAGTCAACATCATCAGGTTTGTGCAGGCTTTTAACTGCAGATACATGATCCACAGCTCAACGGTCAAGCATAAATGTGAAACTAAACACACATTAACAAATATTACCTGTCAGGTCAAGGGTGGAAACACAAACCCGATGTACACCTTTGCTTGTGATTATTATCCAGGTTAGCTGGGACAGTATCCTGCAGACATATTGATTTGCTCTTTCAATAATCGGTGAATATAACATGAGATGGCGTAAACTGTATGGTTGAATTTGGCATGGAAACAGTGTAAACACTCTTTGTGAAGCATTTTCCTTTCAAATGCTGCAAGATTCTTATAACATTGAACACAGCTGTTGACAGTTGACGCTGCATATCAAAAGAATTGATGTTATCTTGCAGGGTAGCTGACAGTAGCCTTTGATAAACATGCAACTGTGCAGGCAAACAATCAATAATGAACACTGAGCGTGATGTTAACAATTGCATGATGCATGTCAACAAATGCAAACGGCGGTCTGTATATAATCGAGTCTGGACCAGACAATCCAGTGATTAATATCATGAGCATCGATCCAAGCAGTTGGGATTGATGACATGCATCAACCAAGTCACAAGCCTGACCACCCGATCCCGTTAGTCGCCTTTTACTACAAGCATGGTCACCATTTACGGCAAGCATGGGTTGCTGAAGACCTATTCTACCCCGGAATCTTCACGGGTCTTCAAAAGGCATGGATGGCCCTGACTAAGTCATCTGAGGCACCAACTTTATTGTTCAGTAGGGCTGTTACGATTCACTCGCGTACTCTGTGAATCGAACCGTATCCATTCATGAATTGAATTTGTTATTTGTGGCCACTAGAATCGAATATTTATGAATATACAAGCATATGCATTTACATATAAAAAATACCCATATTTTATGCATAGATTTCTTCATAAGACAACACTCTTATACTATTTAATTTGACAGTATTGTGGTCACTGGTCATTGTTGCACTTGAGCAGATACTAGTACCTGGATAAATGCAGTATATAAATGAATAATATATTTAATAATATATTAAAAATTAACAAACCATGTCAAATAATTTATGTTGTTGTTGCCTCACTGAACATGCTGAATATGACCAATGATACATCAACAGCTGACTTGTTTTTGTCTTCGTGAATTATTATTCGTATTCGTATTCATTGCAGCCCTATTGTTCAGAGTTGCATCCTTTACGTATGCTGATAAAACTTGTGGGTTCAAATCCCAGAATCGTCCTACTTATTTTTCAAGGATTATGAGCACCATATTATGCGCGGTGTTTCATTAAATGGTAAAAGTCTAAGACCTGCATCACTTTGGGCTCACCTCCCACAAGTGGTTGACACACCATGATATAACTGGAATACTGTTCAAAGTGGTATTAAGCCAAACTCTCTTTGGTGGGGTTGGGGGGAACTTACCGAGGCAGGGCGCTTAATACAGCAAATACGGTATTGGTAATTTTACTAAGATATTAACATAAATTACTTCCTACTTCAACATCGCATTTAGGACACCCAAATAGTTGGCATGATCACTGTCGATGACAACAGGACGGGGAAGCTTTCACAGTTATGTCACTGACCGTATTTTGACAAGAGGGTGGTACATTAAAAGTAAATGATCGACGTTGGTGATTATGTCATGGTCACCCCAGGGGGATCCAGAGGGGACCAGAGCCAGAGGGTCCCCCCCACCCCACAGGCACTTTAAAAACCAAATGTAGTATGTTGTAGACAATCCATCCCCATACACAACCCCACCCCACCCTCCTTCACAGACAGATGATTTAGATATTTGGGACCCCTCCCTTCTAAATTTGCTGGATCCAACCTTGGTCACTGTTGTGGAAAGTTTTACAAACTGTTCCAATGACTGGTGTCAATCTATATTATCCACATCTCGCTTCAACAACATCAGTTGACATGGTAAACTGATCTAATTAAAGAAGCAGGTATTGACAATCGTTCTTTGTGTGTGTGTAGCCAAGATGAACGTCAGGTTTCAGGGGATTTATTTATCTACTTTCGCATCTCAGGGAGATGGAGAAGAATACCTTTAACCAAAAGGAAATGCCAACTTCGCAAATTATCTGACCTTGGTGATGAATTACATTTTTTGTTTATTTGACCATCTTTAGAAAATGAAAGTAAACATTTTTTACACAGATTCAACAACATCAAACCCAATATGCTTAAAATGAATTTACCTTTCAATAATTCACGACTAGGAACATTGAGAAAACTGTCCAAATTCTGTAAAATCAAGTAACTCTGCCTCTTTATGAATTACACATATATTGCTACCCTAGTAAGTCTGTATAAATGCATGCATGCTTGGCAAAGATGTTTTTGTACATATTTATATGTATTATGTTGTTGAAATAATTTTGTACCTTTGATGCCGCTGATAGCGGCCTGAGTGTAAATAAAGTTCAGTTCAGTTCAGTTCAGGGGACTCACCATCTTCCCGAGGCAAGAGAGTTAACTGACTACAAAAGTCCAGTTTCCACCCTTGCCGAACTAGGCTGGTATTATGGAGTTACAATTTGACTGGACTAACGAGTCTATGCATAGTCCAATCAAAATCGTGCACCGAAATCAAAATCCAGTTCGTAAACTGTCATGCAGATTTCGATCGATTGCAGGATTTGCAAAGCATGTGCACCGCCAACTCTTTGTCAGCAGATAGTTTCCAAGTCTTTTCATGTGTTTAATCAAGGTGCTTACGTGATTTGATGCATTTTGCGATGTAAGACCCGTTTTATCACAATATAGATCTTGATTATCGATCAGATCGTCCTGACTGGGTGCCACCATTTTGTGTGAAGCAAACGCAAATGATGGAATCTGATTGGTCCATAGGAGAGGCTTAAAAGGGACTTAACTGGTAAAAGCCACTGGTGATTGATTGATCGAGCCCAGTAATTCCAGCCTAGTTCGGCAAGGGTGGAAACTGGACTTTTAAAGTCAGTTAACTCTCTTGCCTCAGGAAGATGGGGACTCACAAGAACAATTTAGGTGTCCTAGGCCTGACAACTGAAGTCCCTGGTTGACCAGTGATGGAGCAAAGTGAAATGCACACATTGCCTGGTATCTTGCGATACAATTTGTATCAAAATACAGATTGACGATTCACTGGTATCACAATACACCACATCAAATAGTAAGAAGTAATGAAAAATCACTGAAATACAGCTCTCAAACCTCTTTCTTCATACATTTATTTATTGTTATCACAAAAACTTGAGCAAAGAAAACCACAAGAACAAAACAGTTTTAAGTGGAGGGATAGTTATTAAATGTAACAGTTTGTCAGCACGTCCTCAGCTACCACATCCTTGTTTTCTGCCATGATCACATGCCATTATGAGAGGTAACTCTATTATTAGTTAAAACCCAAATCTCACTCACTCATCTACACAAGTTTCATAATGGCTTAGTATCAATCTCATTAAAATCAGACCTTAGTTCTCGCTACTGCTAAACAAAGATCTGAGGACATCCCATTACAGGTCACATCAGACCGACCTTGCGCCAACTTTGACCGACCAATGGAATGACCAATCAGAAGGCAGCTTTCTCGTGCTAATTTCAAATTGGCGATTACATATTACATACATAAACCTGAACAAAAAAACATTCTGAATTGGCTAATAGATTGTCTAGATTGTATAGATTCAGTAACTAACGTTTGGAATACCCCATGTTAAAGTTTTAGAGGTTGCATGATTAGAAATCATTCCAACTGTCACTTTCAAAATCTGGTAAGCGACGCTCTGATTGATCGAATGAAAGGTCGTTCTGACGTGACCCCTAATGGGATGTCTTCAGATCTTTGTTTAGCTATAACGAGAACTAAGGTCTGATTTAAATGAGATTGGCATAGTCTGATCCTTGGCATAAAATCTTAAAAGTTAATTTCATAAGGAATATATAATCTGTAATTCCGAGAGCAGGATTTTACCTTGACTTACAAAAGTGGGGGTCCAGGGGATCCCCAATAATTAATTCTAAGGGTCCTTGACGGCAATATGAGGGTCCTGAAAAGTATTCAAATGGTGTAGTGTACAGTACTTTTTGATAATTACCTTAGAGACTTGGATGAATCAATGAGGTAGGGTGAAATGGGGTTTAACATCGCGTGCAAGATAATTGCACTTATATAGCAACGTACATGCAAGCACGTGTGTGTGTGGCTGCTTGTACTGGTACAGACTGATGCAGATTTCTAATTCTAGCCAATTGAGATACAAAGTGTCAGTTTAACATGAATACCCCAGCATACTGACTCGCAGCCGACCAGTCCTTGTTTGAGCCCCTTCATGCCGAGCGCCAGGCAGGGTAACAACAAGTTCCATCTTTTAACGTGTTTTGGTATGACACAGCCAGGGATCGAACCTGGGACCTTCCACTATGGATGGACGATCTACCACTAGACTACAGAGGCGGTCGAATGAATCAATGAACATGTGGACAGTGGTCATGACATGCATGATTGATGATTTAAATGACAGATGTCCATAACTGCTCTTGATGAGCTGTAGGTAAAATGAATATAATTATATGTCACTCGGGATGAGTGCATTCTTTTCCTGCGTCCATTATCTCCATTTGCGCATCACGTAAAGCCTAGCATGATTCAAGTGGGTTATTAATATTATCACCAACACTTATCCCATATGGTCATCTCAAATCATGTGAGTTATCATCCACTGTAAGAGAGGTGAGGTGAAATAGGGTTTAACGTCGCGTCCAAGATTATTGCACTTATATAGTGACGTGCATGCACGTGTATGTGTGTGTATGTGGCTGCTTGTACTTGTCCGGACTGATGCCGATTTATAGTGCTAGCACACTGAGATACCATGCCGCAGGTTAACATGAATACCCCACTCAGACACAGTATACTGACTCCGAGCCGACCAGTCCTTGTTTTAGCCCCTTAATGCTGAGCGCCAGACAGGGTAACAACAAGTACCATCTTTTAACGTCTTTTGGTATGACGCGGTCGGGGATCGAACCCCGGACCTTCCGCTCTCCGGGCGGACGCTCTACCATTAGACCACGGAGGCGGTCCCCACTGTAAGAGAGACAACCCCTTAGCCTTTACATCTGTAAACTTGTAATAGCAACTGGTGGTGCTACGATCGATCCCAAAAATTCCATCCTGGTTCGGCAAGGGTGGCAACTGGACTTTTACAGTTAGTTAACTCCCTTGCCTCGGGAAGATGCCTTGACATAAATAAACACTCATGGTGAATTAATTTCGATATATTCAAGTGAGTATGGTTATGTGCCGCTTTTAGCAATATTCCAGCAATTTCAATGCAGGGGACCCCAGAAATGGGCTTCACACATTGTACCCATGTCGGGAATCGAACCCGGGGTTCAGTGTGACGAGCGAACGCTTTAACCACCAGGCTACCCGACCGCCCCCTATATATCTGAGACCTGCATAACACTGGACATTCCTTCATCATATTAAAAAACAAGTCAGTCACTTCACAAAATATCTATTGTGTGTAATGCCATTGGGAGTAGTATTAAAGTAAGTAGTATCAGCTAGCTTGCGCTATGATGTAGTTAATGATGTCATCACTGACCATATGTACTGTAGCCATGACTAAGAATAAACATGTGTAATGAGTCCTGATGTCCTTGTGGCTAGAGATCTATATGGAGATAGCCCTCAATGTGACACCGCATGGAGAAACAATACACTAACAACACTAATCAACCACGTGCTAATCTTTTGCAGCTCACAATTAATTCCTCAGGCCATACAGTTGATGGCCTGACACTGTTGGAATTAAATTAATTTGTTTTGTAATTTTGTTTTACTTTTATTCACCTTTTGGGGTTTTAATGTCAATTGTAAACCTATAGAAAGTGTGTTCTGTGTTGTGATTGGCTAATTTGGGTCACATGACCAAATGTCAAAGGGTGAGAATATGATTTGCATTCCCTGAAACAAGCGACCGAAGGTGTTAAAGAGTGCGCATGTTTTTTTCTAAATAAAACAATAGGTTTACAATATCGATAAATACTATCTAACGCTTTCGGGTCTCCAAGATGCAAATACTCGATAAAATCCCGGAAATAGACACACACATAATATTTATCTTCTAAATGAACTCTGACAACATATTTATTTCTCTTGGTCTCCTGCCTCTAAATTACAACCCTTACCAGCATCATCTAGAATTCAATGTCACAACCAATTAGTGGTTAGAATACTCAGTAATTAATATATACTGGGTATAAGGAATTTATTTATTTCCCTCCCAGGCAGAATATGTAGTATTTTATCAAGACCATGTGAACCAATCAGATTTCAACATTCTGACATGAAGAGGACATAACAAACACTATTGTCGTTTCATAATCTTGTGTCAGTATTTTAAACAAATATGTCAATTGCTATTGATGTATAACAAACATTAACATCAATGCATTGTCGTGTGTGTCATCTTATAAACATAAACTAAAATTATAATTTATGACATATAATAATGATAAAGTCAATTCATAGTCAAGTAAGTGTCAGTATTTTCTAGGTCTTTTTAGCCAAATTAAAACACAATGTGCAATTCCTTGAAAAGAAATATCACACCATATAATGTAGGCCTATCCGTTTTTAGGAAATTATATCATTTGCCATTTTGGTATCACATTTATACAGCCTTTAGCGCACACGAATACATGCGGAGATCGAACTGACAATCTCACATATAGATCCAATCATATATATGAAGCCTTTGATAATTAGCGGGGGTCAACTGTCGGCTGTTGCCTGATGAACGAAGGGTAAAATTAACCCTAGTACGCGGATACATGAGGGGGAACCTTTGGTAATTAGCATGTGTCAAATGTAAACAAATAAATTGATTACTTCAGCGGTAGAAACTAGTTCTTATAATGATAACATCAAAGACCATATAATATGATCCATACATGAGGGGGAACCTTTGGTCATTAGCAGGTGTCAAATAGTCTGGCTCATGAAAACAAACAAATTGATTACTTCAGCGGTTGAAACTAACGCTTTTAGTCCACAAGTGATTGAGTGAGTTGGGTTCAACGCCGCTTTTAACAGTATTCCAGTTATATCACAGCATGTCAGCTTAATGTGGGAGGAAAGCCCGAAGTGATGCAGGTCTCAGACGTGGCCCAATCGTTTACGGCGCCGCGATTTGCTGTGTAGAGTTGCGTCCCTTGGGCACACCAGAAACCTATGATTGTGGATTCAATCCTGGTTCGCCCCGATTATGTTTCTAGGTTTGTCAGCACCATACCCGTGCTCGTGGGTTTCACCGAAGACCTGCATCACTTCGGGCTTTCCTTCCACATTAAGCTGACATGCTGTGATATAACTGGAATAATGTTAAAAGCGGCGTCAAACCCAACTCACTCACTCAGGTGTCCCCCGCCTTGATATAACTGGAATAATGCTTAAAGCGGCGTAAAACCATACTCACTCACTTGAGCGTTTGCCATATTGCTATGCTATGCAATAGTCTATGATTATCTTGTACTTATACTCAAATTGAATAGATTCGCTCACTAAAATAAATGAATCTATAATCAGTATAGCCTGTGTTCACTCAGCGTATCAGCGACAGTAATAGATAACCGGCTGACATGAGTTTCGCCGGGGCCCCTTTCACCAGAATAGACTATAGTCGGCCAACTACCCATGCGTTACCAAGTTTCAGTTCTTTATGACATTAACATATTTATTTCCATAAAGTGGAGGGATTGGCAAACGAGCAAATTTTGCTTATCTGAATGCCTCTCCCAAACATGATACACATACAAATTACAATGTATTAAAGTGATATGAGAAATAGCATACATGATATAATTGACATTAAAGATGATTATTGTTCTGTAAGTGTTTTATTACTGGATTATCTTTCGAAACTACAGCTACGTTATATTATTTACATCTAGCACAACAACATCACAGTATCATATATACTTGCCGTAAAAGGCGACTGTGCTTGTCGTTAAAGGCGACTAACGGGATCCGGTGGTCAGACTCGCTGACTTGGTTGATGCATGTCATCGATCCCAATTGCGTGGATCGCTGCTCATGATGTCAGTCACTGGATTGTCTGGTCCAGACTCGATTATTTACTGGCTGCCGTCATATAGCTGCAATATTGCTGAGTGCGGCATTATACAAGAAAAATAAATTAACTTCTGAAATATGCAACCAATATACTTACTTAAACGAATGAGTGTTCAACTATCAGTAGTTGTGAATAAGCATTGGAGTTTATAAAAGTTGGGATTTATACGACAATAGTTTGGTAATAATTTTCTTTCAAATCTAAAACAAGTATACTGGAACATATGATATTCATTTCCCCTTGTACGCGAGTCACAATTCGGGCAGAGTCTCAATCAAAGGAACATTCTGCCACGACCCGTTTCTACGGACAAAATAGTATTACTTGTACGAAATTGTAAAACTTGTATTGAAGGACACTTGACTTATCAAGATCATCCATTGTCTTTGGAATTATATAAACGTCAAAACTTGCACCCAAATAACATAAAATAGCAAATATTTCAGTCGGAGGCTTGGAGGCTAGCTCATTGTTACCTCAGACTGTCACTGGCTACAATTAGTAATGGCTATGTATGACTGTCCTCCCCCCCCCCCCCCCCCCCACACACACACACAATTAGGTGATTTCTTCCACAATTGGTACATTAAGTTCTTAAAATGATATATGAAGTGTGATTATCTTACATTTGAATATTATATGTATGACTTCATTCCAATATTTGAAAATCTATGGCAACATTTAACTTCTCGGCCACTCTTCATATATGTCCTCTATTTGACCTTGAACTATTATAATGAATTAAATTGTCCCTGTGATATTTTTTATAAAGTAAATAACAGTTGTATACCCAGATTGTTCTTTAATTTAGTTCTATTAGAAAGAAAACTATAATAAATTTGAATCTCTTCCTTCCTACAAATATCCAAGAATACGAAAATACGAATTACATAGGCCTATATCTTGAGAAAGGTCATTCCCATGAGTTGATTTTGGTAGACTTTTTTTTCCTGAAAGCTGACATGCTACCAAATAACATAAAGTATGAATTAATTCTGTTGCAATTTTCTTGAGGTTGGCCATTTATTTCGACCAAAATGACCAGACTAATATAACATACCGTATTCGACGTAATAAGGGCCCAGGGCGCTCTCAAAATTAGAAATTGGGGGCTCTTATTAGAATAGTATTTTGGTGAAAAATAAACAGAGTTGAAAGATACATTTCGAGGTTTATGCTGACAGGCTGAAATGTTTATATACGACATGTATATTTTTCCAGAATTTAATTGCCCATAATTAAGGGTGCATATAACACACAAGTGTGTATTATACACCAATAAATAAGTCTTTTGTACATTGATCATTCGGAAGGGGTGCTAATTGGAATCGTTCACTAGCCAATATGTTAACAAATATCGCCATGGGCGCTTATTAGAATGGGGCGCTTTTTACGTCGAATAAGGTAATCTATTATATGGTCTCTGATAACATATAGCAAAACTCTTAAAAACTACAGGACTAGTGCCAATTTGTAACACTGTTTATTGCTAACGCTGTTCATTTCTAACGTTAGACTATCCTAGTTCTTTTCAGAGACGGTAGGCCTAGATTTCTATATAGAGCTAGGCTATATGCTGTCTGTATCGGAATAAATATCTGCTCAGTGTCATTCGAAATTATCACAAAGAAGATCACAAAATAAAGGAATCGCCGATCTATCATTTATATTTCCTTTATGATGAATTGAAAACTCCTCTGTGCAGGATCAAGACTGAGCGGAAACTCATTGCTACGATCAGATCGTCGGTCTTCCTTCGCGAGATGACGCCGACAGACCTCTCGAACGGGCCACCTACAGCCGAATGACACACCCGCACGGGCTGCGCAGGTAACCCGCGTATTGTTATATATCAGTTTGATAGTGTTATCTTTAGTCAACTCACCCCGTGGCTTTTGTTGTCTCGCTCAAACGAGTCCGCCTGCCTTCTAGATGTCAAGGCTGCTACGAGGAAGGGAAATCCCAACATGTAATGGTTAAACTGGGTTTTTCCCACTGATTTGCGCAACAACCTCGTTACAATTTCATAACTGCGTTTTAGAACAGCTCCCAGTTCAGACAAGGGAATGTAATGACGCTTTTGTTCTGTATTTCAAGCTTATTCAGTCATTTTTACCCAGAGACCACATAATAGATCTCTGATTTTACCTTAATGTCGCAGCTCCGATAAATATGATAAAACACTGTTTTCAGTTTATTACAGGGTATTGTTTTGCTGGTGTATCTTACGTCATGGATCGAGTAGATCAACATGTGACGTGTGTGTAAACGATATCCCTCCCAGCTGTTTCATCCTTCTACCCGCTGCCAACACCACAGAACCAGAGACACATGGGAAAACCTGCAGTAGTGGAAAATAATAAATTTATGTAAATCTGAGTAAGACATGGGCTATTGAGAGAGAGAGAGAGAAAGAGAGGGGGGGGGGGGGGGGGGGGGGGAGAGAGAGAGGCCACCGGCCAATTATGCAATACATGATGTCAGAGTTAGACAATTTCAGCACCAATGAGAAAGTTATTACGCTTTTTAAAAGCAAGAAATATAAATTTAGCTAAAGCATTAATTATGCATGGGGTTTTAGACGCGCAGAGTACGTGTTACAAATTTATCAAAAGTTACATTTGTGTAAAAATAGCAAGGTAGAACCTTAAACTGTCATATAGTATGGCCATTGTAAACAAAAATGATATTCAGATTCCACTTCAGGTCTTACACAAAATGGACATAGTCTCTACGCTCTAGGTATATTGTACTTCCTTCCATTTTCAGTTTGCAAAGTATGACCAGAACATCTAAATTTACTCAAAGCAATACGATAGGCACTTACTGGAATACAATCTAGATAATTTTTAAATACATGTACATTATATTGCTTATTACAAGAATAAAAATAAAGTTTTGAGTTAGTTCTTAAACCACTAGACCATTGTTGGTTATCTATATAAATACATCTTGTTTTAAAGGTATCAATAAAACCAATATGATTTACTACTTGACTATTCCAAACATGGCCAAAACCATATGAATAAAGAAGTTGTTTTACTTTTAGTGCCCAACAATTTAATCCTTTTTCTGCCAGATTGTATTGATATGAATAAGCATGGCTAAGGATTGTATTAGTTTTTTGAGAAACAAGTCGGAGCCAATATTTGACAATACGAACATGTTGGAATAACGTCCAAGCTCACAACGAGCAACTATATTGGGGACAAATCTCCCATATTGTTAAATATTCTTACAGAATCGATCATGTATACATTGATGACATCCCGAGACGGGTGAAAGCCCCATATCTCTGAGCAGTAGAGAAGAACAGGTAGTATTTTGACATCAAATATCTGTAAAAGTACATTATAAGGAAGTTTTATAAAATCCCTTGAGCTTGATTTTAAAGCGAGAAGATATTTCGTCGCTTGTAAAGCAAGTGTCTTTTGTGTAAGGTACCAACTACCAGATGATGAAAGATGAACACCTAAATATTTATAAGTAGGAACAATTTCTATAATTCTATAATGACATGGGCTATTCCTATCCACCAAGTCACGGGGATCACGGGGATTATATAACCTATCACATTTATGTTTATTTTAACAATGTATAGCTTATGTGGTGTTCTAGTTTATTCTCGTGTTTTTACAGTGAGTGAGTTAAAATTAAGGTCGCATCAGCATTATTTCACTTCTTTGAGAGTCATTTAGAAGTTGGAGTACTATACGTAAGGATAAGATAAATGGATGAACAATTCTTTATTGCAAATAGGAGCGACGTTTCGGTGTAGGTTCTAACACCGTTATCAAGCAAGTGATGTACAGAGTATGGTTGACAAGTATACATACAGGATAGGAGTGAGTGAGTGAGTTTGGTTTTACGCCGCTTTTAGCAATATTCCAGCAATATCACGGCGGGGGACACCAGAAATGGGCTTCACACATTGTACCCATGTCGGGAATCGAACCCGGGTCTTCGGCGTGACGAACGAACGCTTTAACCACTAGGCTACCCGACCGCCCCTACAGCATAGGAGGCAGTGTTTATACAGTTGAGTAAGTTTAAGATGCAGTTACACTGAAGTGGGGAGCCCGTTATGTGCACAGAAGGGTAAAACATATTGGCCGGTGAAGCCAGTAATGTAAACAATAAAAGGATTATGACTGATTGGGGTCTTTGGTGAGTTGATGTACGCCGGGGGTATGTAATAGCCTTGGTCACGGTTGATTGATGATTGGAGTCTTTTGATGTTGTTGGCTTCTTGCAGTTTTCTGATTTTGAAGTCTTTGAGGTTGGTGGTGAGGGCTTTGACTTTATCCCACTGAATGCTGTGGCTTGGGTTGTCACGGGTGGCCCGCGATTCGGTGTGCTAGAGTTGCATCCCTTGGGCACGCCAGAAACCTATGATTTTGGGTTCGAATCCCGGTTCGCCCCGATTATGTTGCTAGTTTTGTCAGCACCATACCCGTGCTCGTATGCTCATGCTCGAGACCTGCATCTCTTCGGGCTTTCCTCCCACATTAAGCTGACACGCCGCGATATAACTGGAATACTGTTAAAAGCGGCGTTAAACCCAACTCACTCACTGACTCACTCCAAAGAAGGGGAGGCTGATCACAAACGGTGCAGATTGTTGACTGCACCCTTTATGATCAGCTTCCCCTACTTTGGATTTATTTTTTTTAAAGTCCATAAACTTACTAAACATGATTTTGAATGTTAACAAGAAAAAGGTTGGGATGAACTTGTTCATCTCTTGAAGTATTTTCAAAGTATGGTACCTTCAAGCATACCAATGGCTCGCAGACGCTCATTTTCGGACAAGTGTGGCATTTCGTAATGTTGAAAAATTGCGTAATTTTGTTGTTTTTCTGAGTGGTTGTCAGCACGATGCTAAACAATGCATGTGGACTCCCGTTAACGCACACATTTTTTTAACCCATTCTTTGGTAGTGAAATGCATGGGGCTTGCATAAAAGTCAACTTTTGCATGAAGTGCGTGCTTTTCTGTAGCAGATGCGTTTTTGTGACTTGATTCCATACATGTACTACAATATTGAAAACCAAACTTTACTTGTTTGAAAAAAACACTGAAATATTGGTGTCGCAGAAACTTTTGTTGTTGAGTATATAGGGAGGCCCTTCCCAAGGTTGATGGTACACAATTGTTTATTTGGTTATATGTAAGGAAACCAAGCTTACCCCCATTCAGAGTCTATGTTCAAGTTATCTCCATGGAAACGAGAAAAAATAAAAATGTCAAAAATCTCTAAATAGCAAAAGGCACCACTTCAGTGCTGGGTTAATGTGTATACAAAGTTTCGCGAAAAAATATTAAACGGTTTCCGAGTTATGGTTCCGGAAACCAAGCTTACCCCCATTCAGAGCCTATGTTCAACTTATCTCCATGGAAACGAGAAAAAATAAAAATGTCAAAAATCTCTAAATAGCAAAAGGCACCACTTCAGTGCTGGGTTAATGTGTATACAAAGTTTCGCGAAAAAATATTAAACGGTTTCTGAGTTATGGTCCGGAAACCAAGCTTACCCCCATTCAGAGTCTATGTTCAAGTTATCTCCATGGAAACAAGAAGAAATAAAAATGTCAAAAATCTCTAAATAGCAAAAGGCACCACTTCAGTGCTGGGTTAATGTGTATACAAAGTTTCGCGAAAAAATATTAAACGGTTTCTGAGTTATGGTCCGGAACGGTGGGAACGCCGACGCCGACGCCGACGGGAACCGTGCCAAAAATAATATGTCTCCCTCCATTCTGGGGGAGACATAATAACAACAAGAAGAAGACACTTCATGAATATTTATACATGACTTTACTTTTTATTTACAATATATGTACACTTGGGTATTAATACTACAGAATACATTCATGGATATTCATCCATCCACAAGCGAAAATCATGCACACTGAAAACAAAATAATTATCACATGCCTTAATACTTTATTAATATCATACTAATTTGAATAAATCATTCAATCCCCTATGTCATTGAGTCAGTTGGCACTATTGTATTGATAACGTTAATCCCATCAACCACATTAGTATTAAAAGGCTGAATGACCCCACTTGGCAATGATTAATCTTTTTTTCTATCATTGACTTTGATGATAGAAAACTTGGTGAAAATTTGTGTTGCTAGCAGGATTTTAACCTACAGCGATTATACCACAGCCTACTAACTACGGGATCGACCGTTTGATATTCAAGAAAACATGACAATATTTTGAAAAAAAATAATTTTGCCTCAGGTCTTAACCCCCAAACAATAATTGTTCACTGGATATCTAAACATTGTTCATCTCTTTCCTCTGTGGTCTAGAGGCAGTGCGTCTGCCCGGAGAGCGGAAGGTCCGAGGTTCTATCCCGGCCGCGTCATACCAAAAGAAGATGGTACTTGTTGTTACCCTGTCTGGCGCTCGGCATTAAGGGGCTAAAACAAGGACTGGTCGGCACGGAGTCAGTACACTGTGTCTGAGTGGGGTATTCATGTTAAACTGTGGCATGGTATCTCAGTGTGCTAGAACTATAAATTGGCATGAGTCCGGACTAGTACAAGCAGCCACACACACACGTGCATGCACATCGCTATAAAAGTGCAATAATCTTGGACATGACGTTGAACCCAATTTCACCTCACCTCATCTCTTTCCAGAGGAAGAAAGTGTATGTCTTGAAGTAGTAACTGAAACCTATTGTGTCCCCCAAAAAACATCCAAGCGCCCAGCCCCTAATCATAGGACTCCTCACACCACTGGGATCTAGTCCAATCACGTGACTCCTTCCAGCAATGGAATCCAGTCCAATCATGTGACTCCACACAGCACTGGAATCTAGTCCAATCACATGACTCCTTACAGCACTGGTGTCTTGTCCAATCAATGGACTCCTCAAAGCACTTGAATCTAGTCCAATCACGTGACTCCTCACAGCACTGGAATCTAGTCCAATCACTGGACTCCTAACAGCACTGGTGTCTCATCCAATCACTGGACTCATTACAGCACTGGTGTCTCATCTAATTACTGGACTCCTTACAGCACTGGTGTCTCATCCAATCACGGGACTCCAAAATATTATTTCAGGCTAAACATAAATCAAGGTCCGGAATATGTATGAATCTTCAGTGCAGTTTGGACACCACTTTGGAAACACCTAGTTCCTGCCAGCTTCCAACACCATTCTTGATTCAAGATTGGAGACCAGTCTCTATCAAGACATTAAACAGTGACAATACTATGAACATTCCTGAGTGCACCTACATTAATTCTAGGGCCTGTTACTAATTGCCACTTGCCTCTTATTTGACCCATTTTATTGCTGCTTTGATTGGAAACCTGAAACTGTATGTTTTAATCTATTGATTATTTATTTATCTTGTGTGGTCAATTGCTGATTTCACAATTTAGTTCCATACCAATCTCATTAAAATCAGATCTTAGTTCTCGCTTCCGCTAAGCAGAGATCTGAGGACATCCCATTATGGGTCACTTCAGAACGACCTTTCATCTGACCACCTCCCTCAGGCAAGTGAGTTAACTGACTGTAAAAGTCCAGTTTTCACCCTTGCCAAACTTGGCTGGAATTGCTCGGATCGATCGTAGCGCCACCAGTGGCTATTATGAGTTATGTCCCTTCTATATCCCTCCTACTGACCAATCAGATTCCACCTATAATAACACTTGCATTTGCTTCAAACAAAATGGCATTGCCAAGTGAAGACAATCTGATCGATAACAATTCACAAGGTGTATCAAATCTTGTGAGCATTTTGATTAAACAATTGGAAAATATCTGTTTACACTGAGTTGATGGTACACATGCTTTGCAAATCCTGCAATCGATCCTGCATCGATTTCATTACGCAATTTTGATTGGACTATGTTTTGACTTGTTGGTCTAGCCAAAATCTAACTCTATAATTCCAGCCTAGTTCGGCAAGGGTGGAAACTGGACTTTTACAGTCGGTTATCTCCCTTGCCTCGGGAAGACATCATCCAACAAATCAGAGCATCACTTACTAGATCAGGAAAGTGACAGTCGGAATGTGTTTTCTAATCATGCAACCTCCAAAAAGGTTTCCGAAAGACGGTGACAGGCTGTATGACTGAGTCCATTAAAATCATTGTCTATCTTTTGCTTCAATTGGATAAACAACTGAAACAGAAAAGACTTTCCACAGCCTTTGTGAAGTACTGTCATACAATCTTGACCATCTATTAGACATTCCAGAATTTTCTTTTGTTCAGTTTACAAACATTGAATTGATATTCTGTCAAAGAGTAGTCTAGAATGAAGTCACCAGATTGAATTTTGTAACATAAAGAGAAAGAAAGCTACTTTCTGATTTGCTAATGTTGACTTCTTGTCAGTCATTGGTCGGTCAAGTTCGCAAAAGGTCATTCTGACATGACCTGTATTGGGATGTCTTCAGATCAATGTGTAGCAGTAGCGAGCATTAAGATCTTTTTTTTTGTGTGTACGAAATCGGTTCTGTGTGTACCGATTACTGGGTTAAGCTCTTGGAAATGACCTTAAACAATAGCAATCCCCTGTTGCACAACCAGAAACATGTGATACTTCATGCCCAAACTCGCTCACTGATGAAGAACACCTTAGATATTTTAATGCAGCAGACATGTTTCCAACACTTGGGGTTTGCCTGACTAGATTTCACGAGTCTTCATTAATCCGCGGTAAACGCCTGCAGTCCAGTTATGGCTCGGCCAAGGATCAGTGCATGGATGTCATGGGTGCCTGGAAAGAAGGACCTGTCATGTATGAGAGTTGACTGATTGCATAATGGAAATACAAACACCATGTTGAGATATGTAATCAGTTATTTAAACAAGAGAAAGAAGTGCTCTTCAGGCAATAGATTTTGATAAAATACCGTATTCGATGTAATGAGCGCCTATGGTGCTCTCAAAATTAGAAACAGGGGGCTCTTATTAGAATATTATTTTGGTGAAAAAAACAAAGAGTTCAAAGATAAATTTCATGGTTTATGCTGACAGCCTGAAATGTTTATGTACGACAGATATATTTTTCCAGAATATAAATGCCCATAATTAAGGGTGCATATAACACACGAGTGCGTATTATACGCGAATAAATAAGTCTTGTGTACATTGATCAATCGGAAGGGGTGCTAATTGGGATTGTTCACTAGCCAATATATTAGCAAATATCGCTGTTGGCACTTATTAGAGCGGGGCGCTTATTACGTCGAATACGGTAGTTGGAATTTAATGTGAAACATTTCGAGTGAAACTTGGGTTACACTGTGGCTGGATTTTCAGTTTTGTGGTTGCTACGGTGATCATTTCCAGTCCAAGCCAGGACACCAGAATGAGTTCCAGCATGTGACAGACATTGGGCTTCTGACAGTTTTGTTTCAATGACCACATGCAAAATATTCTTTCCCTCTATTTTTTGTTGTTGTTGTTGAACTGCGCACTCAGCAATATTCCAGCTATGATGTCGGTCTGTAAATAATCAAATCTGGACTCGACAAACCAGTGATTGATATCATGAGCATCGATCCACAGTTGCGATATGACATGCATCAAGTCAGCATGCCTGACCACCTTATCCAATTAGTCACCTCTTATGACAAGCATGGGTTGCTGAAGACATATTCTAACATCAGATCTTCATGGGTTTGCCCTCTAGCAAAAATCACTAATTTGTTTACTGATGTTCCAGTAGTTGAGCAGCAAGAAATTAGTGTGAGCCGTATATAAGCATTCGAATGCATACAACTAATGAATTTAACCATTGCCCCCGAAAACCAAATTTTAGCCCTTCTAGGAAAAGGTACCATATTGCAATCAAGTGTGCTTATTACAATAACAAGTGCTCCAGATAATTTATCAAATTTTAGGGGAATGTACACCTAACTTCTGTGATGAAGGAGTACTGGCATATTTTGAGGAGTATGTAACAGTTTTATTACCATAACCACAAGGCAAATTTCCCAATCTCATTAAAATCAGACCTTAGTCCTCGCTACTGCTAAACAAAGAGGGGGCACGGGTGGCCCAGTCGTCTAAGGCGCTGCAATTCACTGTGCAGAGTTGCGTCCCTTGGGCATGCCAGAAACCTATGATTGTGGGTTCGAATCCTGGTTCGCCCCGATTATGTTTCTAGGTTTGTCAGCACCGGTTTGTGGGTTTCACCGAAGTGGTAAACGTCTGAGACCTGCATCACTTGGGGCTTTCCTCCCACATTAAGCTGACACACCGTGATATGACTGGAATACTGTTAAAAGTGGTGTTAAACCCAACACACTCACTCACGCTAAACAAAGATCTGAGGACATCCCAGTAGAGGTCACGTCAGAACGACCTTTCATCCGACCAATCAGAGCGTCGCTTACCAGATCATGAAAGTGACAGTTGGAATGTGATTTCAAATCATGCAGCCTCGAAAACTTTAACAGGGGGTGTTCCGAACGATAGTTACGGGTTTAACGACTGAATCCATACAATCTTGACCATCTATTAGCCATTCCAGAATGTTCTTTTGTTCAGGTTTCAAATTTGTAATCGAGAATTTGTCAAAATATGTTTCGAGGCGTTGTCGCCAATTTGAAAATAGTGCCGTAAAGCACGAGAAAGCTGCCTTCTGATTGGTCATTCCATTGGTCGGTCAAAGTTCGCGCAAGGTCAGTCTGACGTGACCCGTAATGGGATGTCCTCAGATCTTTGTTTAGCGGTAGCGAGAAGTAAGATCTGATTTTAATGAGATTGAGATAGTTGAAGATTGTTGACCCAATTCAACAAATTGTGGTTCTGCTACTGTTGCTACTTGCTGTCTTTACAGGCAAACACTAAATCGTCGGTAATAAATAGAACACTATATTCGTGTTCATGTCACACTATGTTAAAGACACTTGTGCCTTAATTCCTGTATTGAGACACTCGTGTCATAAACATAGTATGACATGAACACTGATATAATATCCTCCATATAATTATAAAGCTTTATAAAGTTTTAAACAAAGGTAAAACTGCTCCCAAGAATGTTCCAAGGTGCAGTCTTGAAGATTGATTCTGCCTTTGTAGCTACGTCCCAGTGAGTGGCATTATCACTGGCAATCCCCACAACCATATCTCCTATAGTAGGCAACACCGAAAAGGCTTTTAAAACTTTTAAGTCGGAGTCACATCAGCTTTACAAAAGAAATTCTTAATTGACTGTTTCAACATTTTCGCCCTTGAAACAATTAGAAAATAAAGCTTGATCCTGAGACGAGAGTAATTGTCGATGAATATTAGCAAATAAAATACAAGAAAATACAACAGCTGTATAATATTTGGAATTCCCTTATGACGTAATTTGGAGAAAAAATATATTGATATTTACCATGACTGTAATATAATGTACATTTTGAAGACCTTTATTATTTATTAATCGTGAAAGATATGACCTAATATAAAAAGAAGGACATATTTACTAATTTATGACCATTTTTATATGCTTTCTAATTAAATTGTGTTCGTATCTGTAATTTTCTAGATGTACATATGCAATACAGCTCTTATCTGGAGCACTGCAATAAGCTTGTTGCTGTGTGATCCCAATAGGGTGTAGAAAATATTGTAACCATGGTAACATGAAGGCTTCCATATTTGTCACCATTTACCTGTGGGAGGGATGGGTGGGGCGGGTGTGTTGGGGATGTGTATGAAAAGTATGCAAGTATGGTTTCATGAGGTTACAGGGCTTCATTTAACTATATAATACATGCACCAGTTCAATCTATCATTGAAAAGTGCAGCCTAATATTTATTTCCACATGCACCAGTGCAATCTATTATCGAAAAGTGCAGCCTAATATTTATTTCCACATGCACCAGTGCAATCTATTATCTAAAAGTGCAGCCTAATATTTATTTCCACATGCACCAGTGCAATCTATTGTCGAAAAGTGCAGCCTAATATGTATTTCCACATGCACCAGTGCAATCTATTGTCGAAAAGAGGAACCTGATATTTATTTCCACATGCACCAGTTCAATCTATCATTGAAAAGTGCAGCCTAATATTTATTTCCACATGCACCAGTGCAACCTGTTATTGAAAAGTGCAACCAAACATTTATTTCCAAATGTACCATGTGCATGTTAATTTTTTTTATCAAATTTGTGTCTGACTAGCAATTCATTTTCCACACAACAATCTTTGAACACATTCAATACCTCTATATTTTATGTGCCATACTACATCTTTAATCCCTGGGTTATATGTAATTTGTCATCCTTTCTTTGGTTTGATGTCATCGAACTGTGGGTACGTCAAGATTGTGTGTACATCCTGTAACGTTTTACAGCAATATTTAGGTAAAATCTTGACTCGGTCATCAGAGATGTACTTATTCAGTTTATGCCTGTGTTTCTTTCATCTTTGATAAATATATGGAACAAGAGTGCCACCTGGTGCAAGTTAAATAAATCAAGCCCTTGGTTCTGTTGTGTTGAGTTTACACGTCTTGAAGTGTGACTTTAGCTGAAGTTTCTTCTCACATTATGAGTGAGTGAGTGAGTGAGTGAGTGAGTGAGTGAGTGAGTGAGTGAGTGAGTGAGTATGTGAGCTTTTAGCAATATTCCAGCAATATCACGGCGGGGGACACCAGAAATGGGCTTCACACAATGTACCCATGTCGGGAATCGAACCCAGGTCTTCGACGTGACGAGCGATCGCTTTAACCACTAGGCTACCCGACCGCCCCTCTCACATTATGAGAAATTGTTAAAACCCAACCGCACATTTACACCACTCCTCACCTTCGTATGTGTTAACCGACTCCAGATTCATGACGTGTCTGATGATGTGATACTCGTCAGAGATGCCATTCCCTCCCAGCATGTCCCGGGAGTTGCGGGCAATCTCAAGAGCTTTGCCGCAGGAGTTCCTCTTGATCAGAGAAATCATCTCTGGGGGAGCTCTGGAAGAAGATGCCAACAAAATAGTTCTACAGTTAATGGAAGCATTGCAGATCCCATCTGGAAAATATAACCTTCTACTCCATAGACAAGTATTCTTGTAATGTGCCAAATAAACATTTGACCGTGACATGAATATAACTCAATAAAGACGTCATTTTTCAAACAGTTTCATACTAAAATAGTAATTTATGTTTTGGGGCTTTTTCTTGCTATTAATACTATTATTAAAGGCAAACTTTCGGTAGGGATCCTTATGCCGTTATCAAACTTGACAACAGCATAAGTAAATAAAGTAAATAAAGAAGTTGTTATCCATAAATTGTGTCTACTTGTCATCCGTCAACTCAAAAGTAATGCCCATAAAAAAGTCAAGAGAATTCATTATGAGAAACATTACGATTCGGAGTATATGCTTACTCCTTCATCAGGTGAATAAGTGCAAGGATGCAGAGAGCACAATATATGTACATGTAGAACAACAAAAATAATAGGTGAGGTGAGGTGAGGTGAGGTGAGGTGAGGTGAGGTGAGGTGAGGTGAAGTGAAATGGAATTTCACGTCGCGTCCAAGATTATTACACTCATGGAGTGACGTGCATGCCCGTGTGTGTGTGTCTGCTTGTACTAGTCGTAAAGTGATGTGTATATCGTATATATAGCGCCATGCCTGAAGTGATGTGGATGTCAAACATATACCTTCATGCCTGAAGTGATGTGTATATCATATATAGCGCCATGCCTAAAGTGATGTGGATGTCATACATATACCTTCACGCCTGAAGTGATGTGTATATCATATATATAGCGCCATGCCTGAAGTGATGTGGATGTCATATATATAACATCATGCCTGAAGTGATGTGTATATCATATATATAACGCCATGCCTGAAGTGATGTGGATGTCATACATATACCTTCACGCCTGAAGTGATGTGTATATCATATATATAATGCCATGCCAGAAGTGATGTGGATGTCATGTATATAATGTCATGCCTGAAGTGATGTGTATATCATATATATAATGCCATGCCTAAAGTGATGTGGATGTCATATATATAACTTCACGCCTGAAGTGATGTGTATATCATATATATAACTTCACGCCTGAAGTGATGTGTATATCATATATATAGTGCTGTGCCTGAGTGAGTGAGTGAGTTTGGTTTTACGCCGCTTTTAGCAATATTCCAGCAATATCACGGCGGGGGACACCAGAAATGGGCTTCACACATTGTACCCATGTCGGGATTCGAACCCGGGTCTTCAGCGTGACGAGCGAACGCTTTAACCACTAGGCTACCCGACCGCCCCTGCTGTGCCTGAAGTGATGTGGATGTTATATATATAACGTCATGCCTGAAGTGATGTGTATATCATATATATAACGTCATGCCTGAAGTGATGTGGATGTCATATATACTACTCAAAAGAAGTTAAGGATCACCTGATTCTTTCATATTACAATAGTTAATCTCTCATGCCATGACAGATTAACATTACCAATATGAAAGAATCGGGTGATCCTTAACTTCTTTTGAGTAGTATATATAACGCCATGCCTGAAGTGATGTGTATGTAATGTATATAACTTCTCGCCTGAAGTGATGTGTATATCATGTATATAACATCATGCCTGAAGTGATGTGTATATCATATATATAATGCCATGCCTGAAGTGATGTGTATGTAATGTATATAACTTCTCGCCTGAAGTGATGTGTATATCATATTTATTAGGCCATGCCTGGAGTGATGTGTATATCATATATATAATGCCATACCTGAAGTGACGTGGATGTCATGCATATAACGTCATGCCTGAAGTGATGTGTATATCATATATATAACGCCATGCCTGAAGTGATGTGGATGTCATGCATATAACGTCATGCCTGAAGTGATGTGTATATCATGTATATAACGTCATGCCTGAAGTGATGTGTATATATATCATATATATATAACGTCATGCCTGAACTGATGTGTATGTAATGTATATAACTTCACGCCTGATGTGATGTGTATATCATGTTTATGATGTCATTTAGGTATATATTCTGTCATATATCATGATATGATATATATGATATATCAGCTTTGTCAAATTACAGTGAGTGTCCATTTCCTCTACATTTTAGACAATGTGACATAAAATAGAGACCCACCATAGATAATATATTTGCATCTTGGTTATGACATGAAACAAATTTGTAATAGCATGATTACCTCCCTTGGTCCTTCAGACGCCCAACCTGGAGACATGCCTGAAGGCCAATGGAAATTTCTGACAACATGTCCGCCATCTTCTTCTGAGGTAGTTGGTTCTTGGCCAAAGGCTTACCAAACTGTTTCCTGAAACAAATCATTCTCATCAGCAACATCACAGCAGTGGACACCAGGAATGGCTTTCACACATTGAATCCATGTTCAGAATCAAACCTGGACCTTCAATGTGACGAACAAACACTTTAACCACAAGGCCACCCGAGCACCCTGCACCCATATCAAGTTAATAATAACTGTTGTCTGTATCTTTGAGTCTGTCATCAGTGATTGAAGTCTTACAATGTACTGGGGGCACAAGTGGCCCAGTCGTTTAAGGCGCCACGATTGGCTGTGCAGAGTTGCGTCCCTTGGGCACGCCAGAAAGCTATGATTGTGAATTCGAATTCCGGTTCACCACGATTATGTTTCTAGGTTTGTCAGCACCATACCCGTGCTCGTGGGTTTCACTGAAGTGGTAAACGTCTGAGACCTGCATCACTCCGGGCTTTCCTCCCACATTAAGCTGACACGCCGTGATATTACTGGAATACTGTTAAAAGCGGTGTTAAACCCAACTCACTCACTCACATGTTCTGAAGGCCTGCAGTCTGCAACCTACCTGTCCAGCATGTACTGTCTGGCTGTCTCCAGACAAAACTCAGCAGCTCCAAGACTTCCCCATGCAATTCCAAACCTTGCATTGTTCAGGCAGCCAAATGGACCCTAAACACACCAAACCGTCTTTAGTTTACATTGATGATGAGTAAGACATTATCCAAACGGTATTTGTACATATCTCCCTTGTGCTGAAACATGGGCAGTGAGTCTGTCTGTCTCATCGAAAGTACATCCCAATATCTTGATGAGTCAGACCCCCTCGTGGTCTAGTGGTAGAGCGTCCGCCCAGAGAGCGGAAGGTCCAGGGTTCGATTCCCGGTTGCGTTATACAAAAACTTGTTGTTACCCTGTCTGGCGCTCGGCATTAAGGGTTAAACTGTGGCATGCTATCTTTGTGAGCTAGCACTATAAATCGGCATCAGTCCGGACTAGTACAAGAGCCACACAAACACGTACATGCACGTTGCTATATAGGTGTAATAATCTTGGTTGCGACGTTAAACCCCATTTCACCTCACCTAGATGAGTGAAAGACAACATGGACAAAGGGAGAGAAACATAAAAATAGTGTCACCATGGGAGGTAACTCTAGAATGCCAGGAGGTGCTATCAAACTGTTTTTTGTTTGTTGTTTAACACCACACTCAGAAATATACTTGCAACATGAAGTTGGTCTGTAAATAATCTTGTCTGGACTAGACAATCCAGTGATTGACATCAAGTGCATTGATCACGCAAATGGGATTCGAAGCAGGCAACAAGACCAAATGTATGCATGTCTGTGTGTGTGTGGCTGCTTGTACTAGTCTGGACTTATGCCTCTTGTATATTGCTAGCCCACTGAGATACCATCTGATGTGACCCGTGAAGATTTGGTGTATGGTAGTCTTCAGCAACCCATGTTTGCCTTAAAAGGCGACTATGCTTGTCGTAAGAGGCGACCAACGGGATCGGGTGGTCAGGCTCGCTGACTTGGTTTGATGAAAGTCTATATCCAAATTGTGTGGATTGATGCTCATGATGTCAATTACTGGACTGTCTGATCCAGACTCAGTTATTTACAGACCACCGCCATATATCTGGAATATTGCTGAGTGCTGCGTTAAACAACAAACAAACAAACAAACAAACAAACAAACAAACAAACAAACTATATGATGTTGCCAAGACACAGTATACTGACTATGAGCAGACCAGTTCTTATTTATTTTATCCCCTTATGCTGAGCGACATCCGGGGAAAAAACAGGTACCATCTTTCAACATTTGGTATCACTCGCCTGGGGATTGGGCAGATGCTCCATCCACCTGACTACAGAGGCGGTCAGTTCAACAAGCGAACTTATCTATGTACAGTCAAGTCTCTTTAATCTATCACACGTTAATCCGACAGTCGGCTTTATCCGACACTAATGTTGGGATCCGATTAAATCAGTGCTATTTAGACCCGTTAATCCGACAGTCTCGCACTCCGACTCCGACACACCTCATTTGCAATGAATTACCGAAATCACTCATTTATCAGTCTCGTTAATACGACACAGTGATCAGCGTACTCCGTGGTCATCTGCCCACGAGTACACAGCCCGTGTTCTGATGCGAGACGGGTCGGCAGCAGAGATAAACTTGCTTAACAATAAACAATTAATGCTTTAAATAAAGAAAACAGGATTTTAGTCACATTTAGATTACCTCAATTTCATAAAAGTTCTCGCTATTGCCGAGGAAATCCCATTATAGGTCATATCAGAACAACCTTTCACGCACTATGACTGACCAATGAAATGACTAACAGGAAGTCAACGTTAGCCACTAAGAAAGCACTCCGTTACTCTGACATAATCATATGCAACCAACAATGTCGGGTTACGGGACTCGACTGTATATAGGGATCCTACCCCAAGTCCACTGACAGCTGGGAGCAGGTTCTCCTCCGGGATCTCCACGTCCTCCATCACAATCTGTCCAGTGATACTTGCTCGCAACGAGAACTTTCCCTCAATTTTAGGGGTAGTTAACCCTTTCATTCCCCTCTCCAAGATGAATCCCCGGATCTTGTTGTTATCGACATCACTCTTTGCCCAGACAACAAACACATCAGCGATGGGAGAGTTGGTGATCCTGGAGAACACATAGGATACCAGAAAAAGTTTAAAAGAACATTTTGATCTTTAATTTATACATCCTAATGAAGTTGTCCATTCAATGCTTCAAACAGATAGTAGGCCTGGGATGAGCCCAAATTTACTACCCGGGTACCCACACCCCTATTACTCACCCTACCCGGGTACCCGCTGTTGGTGTCAAGAGACAGGTACAAAATGTCCAATTGGGAATAGTTTGACAGTAGCCCTGGCAGAATGTTTCTAGATACATGCATAAAACGATGTGGTCTGTCTTACAGACCCTGATACAAATATATATCAAATACAGCCCATGCAAGTCTATAATGTTTGGCAAGTCTAGATTACTGCAGTATCTGAAAATGAAGGGCTCCCTTTTATTATATTTTTATTAAGATAATTGAACAACTGTTTTTTTCTGTACGATGTGTTCATTTCAGAGACTAGATGTTAGTCTAAAAACGATGTGGTCACGCATACACTAAAGTTGACTGAGGTTTTAGCTTTGTTCAAACATATATATAAGTCAGAAGGAACGTGTGCATAGTCATAAAGAAATGCGAACATTAGAGACTTAAAATTGTCGAATAACCATGTAGTTATATTGTGAATATTTGTCATGAAACAATATATCACGTGACTAACCACGGGTCCAGGTAGTCCTGTGGGTACCCGGGTCCTACTCAGTACCCACCCAACCCGAGTACCCGAGTTACCCGTCCAAGCCCTAACAGAAAGCATATCATCATAGCATTAACTTCACAACATACATCAACGTTTCAGTGAGTAGGGTTAACTGAGTGTATGCCGTCATCTGATTGGTTGAACTAGGTAATTAAATGGGATTTGAAACCCAGGAATCTCCAGGAGTATTCACGGCAAATGAATGTATCTTGGAAAATATTTGGTTGTTTTTTTGCAAATCTAAATTTGAAAAATGTGACATTCAGCTTTGTTAGGACACCATAAAAATTAAATATGAAGTTGGATCACCGTAAATTTTACCATTTGAAACCTCTGGCTAAAGCCATCAGTTCCAAATGAAATTTTTGGTCATCAAATACTCAATAAAACCAACAATCAAGTATCAAGTATAATGATAGCACAAAACAATGTATCAAAACATTTATCCTAACTTTGATTTGATGCAAAGTGCACAGATGAAAAAAACTATAAGTAACATATTTCAGCTTTTTAAAAAACAAAAAAACAAAAACAAAAACAACATAAGTTGTAACATGACATTTAGAACTACAGTGAGGTTTGAGAATGAAATCAGTCCTTCTTAGTGTGCATATTCTTGTGCATGATCGAGTTTTTGAATTTGGGAAATGGAAACATTGATTTCATACCTCTCAGTTTACCCATTCAGAATGGAGTTTTCTCCAAAGTTTCTGTAGAACTTACAAGTGTTACACCGCTCATAGAAGGAATGACTGACTTGCTAGCATCTATCCTGTCTTTGGTTTGTTAACTTCTGTCTGTTCTTTCCCTTCATCTTCCTGAGGCAAGGGAGGTAACTGACTACAAAAGTCCTGTTTCCACCCTTGCCGAACTAGACTGGCATTATAGGGATTATGTTTTGGCTGAACTAACGAATCTATGCATAGTCCAATCAAAATCGCGTAACAAAATCAACAACTGGTTCGTAAACTGATATGCAGAATTCGGTCCCATGCAGGATTTGCAAAGCATGTGCACCACCAACTCGATGTAAAGAAATATTTTCCAAATCATTTCATGTTTTAAATCAAGGTGCTCACGTGATTTGTTGCACTTTACAAAGTTAGACCCATTTTATAAAACAATATACATTTCGATTATCGATCAGAGCGCCTCCATTCTGTTCAAAGTAAATGTAAGTGATGGAATCTGATTGGTCAATAGGAGGGACATAGAAGGGACTTAACTCGTTATAGCCACTGGTGGCGCTACAATCAAGGCTGGAAATTCCAGCCTAGTTCAGCAAGGGTGGAAACTTGACCTTTATAGTCAGTTAACTGCCTTGCCCAGCTACATCTATGGGGAACAACTTACTAGATTTTTCTCTCTCAAAAGTAACATCTTCCAACATATGACGTCATCAAGTTGCGAGAGCATATTCAGATCTCCAGAAATGACATCATGTAAACCATGCTTCATTCTTCATTGTTCTTTGTGATTTATTGCAAGCTATCTTATATTCAGTGATGATGTCATACAAGTGACCTACCATGACTTGGAGCCATTCAAGGTGAAGGCCTTCTTGGAGGAGTTGTACTTAGCGTTAGTCTCCATTGAAGACGGATCACTTCCATGATTGGGTTCAGTCAGACCAAAAGCACCAATCAACTCTCCTCTAGCTGAAGAGCAAACACATAGATCGTACATTGTGAAATATACTTTTTACAGTTATAAGCAGTGAAAACACATAATAAAGAATGAACGAGAGCATTATGTTGTTTTATATGCTGTGGTCAGCAATATTCAAAATAATTCATAACTGCCTGTAAATATTTGAGTCCGGGTCAGACAAACGAGTAACGACAAAACTATGCACACAGTCCGGGTATGATGACAATCAAGCAGGTCACATGAGCCTGCAATACTTGCCATGGGATCCCCCTTTGTGTATCTTAACTGAACTTGGTGAATGATATACATCACATGCACCGGGTTTTTCGAAGTCATTCAGACGCCATTTTTATAGCCTCGCTAAAATGACACCTGTTGGGTTGGTGCCGTCCACGCAACAGCTTTAATTAAATACTTTAGGAAGTAACAGTAATGTTTAATTACCAAGTACCCGGTAGATACAAAATAAGTGTTTGCTGAAATATGGCTTTGCCGGATGTCACAAATGAGATGGTTGCACGCCATTATGGAACTTCCATTTTCGAGTATTTTTTCGATGTTGATGTCCAATCTTTTACTTTTATGGATCGCTTTGATATTCAATTTCAAGGTTTAATCATATTAAACCATACATTTACAAGCGGGGTCATTTATTCTGCTTATTTTGAGCCTAAGCGCCCTATTTGTCAAATAGTGATGTTGTCGCATGCAGCTTTATTAGTAGCATCAAACTGACATGGTGGATAATATCATAATGCATGTATACCGTAGTCGCATCCATCCCCCATGTTCATTGTGCCAGGCCAATCGATCATTCTCAGCTCCCTGGGGAGACTCTGCTAGAAGGTTTTCCTTGTACATAAACTACTACTTACATGATGTACTCATGACTCTGTTTAGAATATAGATACCTGTAGATTTAACACGTCTACACTGACAAACTTGGTACCTAGTCTAGGAATATATTTCTGCTTCTGTTCCTCGGTGCCGTACGCATAGATGGGCCACATGACCAGACTGGACTGGACGCTCATCGCTGACCGGTAGCTGCTGTCCACCCTGGAACAAGACCACCGTCACAGTACAAAGTTGACTTCTTTCTCCTTTCAATGCTACACATGCACCGACATCTTCCTGAGGCAAGGGAATTAACTAGCTACAAAAGTCCACCCTCGCCGAACTAGGCTAGAATTCGGGAGTTACATTCTGTTTGGACTAGCGAGTCTATGCATAGTCCAATCAAAATCGAGGAATGAACTAGACATCTGGTTTGTAAATCACATGGATTTCAATGTGCAGATTTCAGTCAACTGCAGGATTTGCAAAACATGTGTACCATCGCCTGGGCGTTGACATATATTTTCCAAATCTTTTCATGTTTTTAAACAAGGTGCTCAAATGATTTGATGCACTTCGCGAGGTAAGACCTGTTTTATAACAATATAGATCTTGATTATTCATCAGATTGTCTTGACTGGGCGCCGTCATTTTGAAGCAAATGCAAGTGATATGACAGGTGGAATCTTATTGGTCTATAGGAGGGGCATAGAAGAGACTCAACTTGTAATAGCCACTGGTGGCACTAAGACCGAGCCATGAAATAATAATAAAAATAATAAGTGCATTTATATTGCGCCAGATTCCATTCACCAAGTGGATGCTCATAGCGCTACACTATTATTACACCAATGGATCAGTGAGCACTCGATTTTCATTCTCAGCTCCCTGGGGAGTAAACAACCCAAGCTGCCTGTGAGGCGCCAGAAGGTTAACAGCCACATTACCATCTCATCCTACCGGGTACCCACTCACTGCTGGGTGAACAGAGGCCGAACAAAGTCACTTGCCTAAGGAGACACCACATGTGGTACATGTGCTTCAGTGTGGGGCAGGACCGGAGCCCTAGAAACTCTCAGGAGTCAGCTGCTGAACGTGGTCACCCATCCGACTACTCTCCGAGACCAAAGATGCTTAACTTCACCTGATTTGTGACCTGTGACCTGTGCACAGGACCATGTGCCACCAGTCTAGTTCAGCAAGGGTGGAATTGGACTTATATGGCCAGTTAATGCCCTTGCCTCGAGAAAATGACGTACTGAGGCTTCACATTGAAAGACAAAAGAACTTGAAAGCCAGAAGTCAACAATGTCTCAACCGATGCAACAACTTCAACAATGACACTGTAAGAGCAGCCTATGAAGATGTATCATTCCACAGCCAAACTGGGATTATCACATGATGGTACCTATCACTGAAACACTGGCAAGTTTTAGGACAGCAGAGTTAAATGTATAGCAGCCTTCCAAACATCATCCCTGTTTCGCTCTAGAAATGCAGCACATAGATTGTGTGTAAAAAAGAAAGAAAAAGTACCCGCTCAGTGTTCTGGAAGTAAATGGAACTGCTAGATAATGTAAATTTTATCATATTCAAACTGATTTTAAAAAGACATTCACCTACCAGTTAAACTGTCTTGTTAGTATAACATGGAATAGTACTATGTACTGTGTACCCACCTCTCGATTTCTCGAGCCAGGAGTCCGTACCCCACGGAGGAGAGTCCTGCACAACCGTAGCCCTGTATGGTGGGTCCTAGCACCCCCAGCTCGCCCAGCTCACGCATTATAGCAGGATCAAACACTGCATTGGAGATATACATGATACACCATCCACAGGATCAACAAGAGTCATCAGAAGATAACAAATCCCCCCAAAATTCGAAAACCAGATCATCTGACTGATACAGAAGTATTTCAAAGACAGGTACACCAATATGAAAAGAGTCCAAGACAAATTACTGCTGTGGAAACGGAAAAATAAAAATATTCTAAAAATCCCTAAATTTCTTCTTTGATAGGCATTTAGAAGTTGGAGTACTAAGTAAGGATAAGAATTTATGGATTGTCCATCCATAAATTCTTATCCTTACTTAATCCCTAAATTGCAAAACTCACCAATTAAAAACCTGGTCTTCATGTGTGCAAACTTTCATGAAAGAATACCTATTAGTTTTAGAGATATGATCCGGAAAAACAATGATTACGGACGGACAGACAAGCTGATTGCCATATCCCCCATAGTACATTCCGGGGGATAACAATGATTGAATTGTAAGACTTTGAATTTCATCATTTGCATTTCCTTGTCGATGACTGTTTGTTTGGGCTTGAAAAATGATTGAGTCTGGACCAGACATATCATTGATTGATATTTTGATTTATGATGTCCAATGTTGTCATGGTACTTTATGAGAGTCACATGATGAACCATGTGACTGGCTGTCAACCCAATCACCAAACCTGACCACCGATGTGACAAACAAGGTTGTTGGGGATCTATTCTAACCCAACAGGAACCTTATCAATGAATCACACTGATTAACTCATATATCATTCAAAACCTGAATTACACCATAAGAACAAATAGTTGATACATTGAAAGATGTCTCCTTCATGTTCCTATTTGTTTGTTGTTTAACACATCACTCAGCAATAGTCCAGCTATATGATGGCGGTCTGTAAATAATCGAGTCTGGACCAGACAATCCAGTGATTGACATCATTAATCGCCGCATTTGGGATACGATGACATGCATCAAACAGTTCAGCGAGTCTGACCACCCGTTCCTGTTAGTCACCTCTTACAACAAGCATAGTCACCTTTGACAGCAAGTATGGGTTGCTGAAGACCTATTCTACCCCGGTTCTTCATGTTCCTGAACTGATCATTATCATACAGCCCTCAATTTGATTTCTTGACAATTTGAAAAAGTCATTATTCAGGAACACAGAAAAACAACACTACTGAGTGAGTTAGTGAGTGAGTATGGTTTTACGCCGCTTTTAGCAATATTCCAGCAATATCATAGCGGGGGACACCAGACATGGGCTTCACACATTGTACCCATGTCGGGAATTGAACCAGGGCCTTTGGCGTGCTGATGACACTTTAACCACTAGGCTATCCCACTGCCTCTCAACACTATTGGACCTGTGAAGATCCAGGATAGAATACGAGAAGACCAACCCATACTTGCCGTAAAAGGCGACTAAGCTTATCGTAAGAGGTGACTAATGGGATCGGTTGGTCAGACTTGCTGACTTGGTTGATGCATGTCATATTATCCCAATTGCATGGATCGATGCTCATGATGTCAATCACTGGACTGTCTCATCCAGACTCGAATATTAACAGAATGCTGTCATATAGCTGGAATATTGCTGAGTGCAACATTAAACAGCAAACAAACAAACAAACAAACTCAACACTACTGACAAGGTCCTCTGCATGGGAATACCACTGGACTGTTCAAGCTGGATGAGTGCAGACTGTGCTATAAACATAAGACTCAGGCTTTGGATTACAAATCACATACTGTCGTCATACCTTCATTCCTGTTTGCAAGAAGGATCCTTGGCATGAGTTTTTCCTGGCAGTAGGATCGAAACTGGTCACGCACAATTATTTCCTCTTCCGTCAAAAGGCTGTTGAGGTTGAGGGCATCACGCCAGTCAAATGCCACTGAATGCAAGATCATAAAGACTTAATTTAATGTTGGTAAATCAACTGACATTCTTGTGTTATTGCAACAATTATCAAAGATACTTATCAGAGATGTCAATGATTTTGGTGAGGTGAGGTTAAATGGGGTTTTACGTTGTGTCAAAGATTATTGCACTTATATAGCAACGTGCATGTACGTGTGTGTGTGTGTTTGTGTGGCTGCTTGTACTAGTCCGGACTGATGCCAATTTGTAGTGCTAGCCCACTGAGATACCATGCAGCAGTCTAACATGAATACACCACTCAGACACAGTATACTGACTCCGAGCCGACCAGTCCTTGTTTTAGCCCCTTAATGCCGAGCGCCAGACAGGGTAACAACAAGTACCATCTTTTAACGTCTTTTGGTATGACGTGGCACAGGATTGAACCCTGGACCTTCTGCTCTCTGGGCGGACGCTCTACCACTAGACCACGGAGGCGGTCCCATGATTTTGTCACAGGTTATCATGGTTATAGGGTTAAATAAAATTCAGTATATTTTGTGTCATTTATCATGGTTATTGCATTAAAAACTTTGATTACCTTGGCTTTTGCTGGATTTGTCTTCCTTGTAAAGTTGCTCTGATAGTGTCAAGGTCATTAAACATTATGAAGCATGCATGAGGTGTATCACGCTGACTAGCATCACCTCTATTAATCATTGTGATCATCAATCATTGTTCTCATCAGCATACACAGTGGATACTGCAATGCCTAATCATGTACTGAGCAAAAAGCAGTTATGGCCCAAAAAGAAATCTGACTAAAAGGCTTCTGTATATTACCAAGACTGATTTAAAGAAAATGCTTTTTTGTTTGCTATTTATATATCTTTATTGTTGTTTTTGTTAGTGAAAAACAAATTTGTTACCATGATCAAGAGAGAAAATCTGATCATAATGTTATTGTTGATGCAAACAATAATAAGAAATGATGAGATCTGATTGGTTCACGTGACTGATAAAATACTACCATACTCCCTGGAACAGAAATTAATTTCTGAGCGGGAGAATAAATCCCTTATATCCCGCCACATGGAAGAGAGGCTCCACATGGTTTTCTGAGCGGGGGATAAAATCACTTATACCTCGCTTCAAAGAATAAGACCACAAGTCAATGAAAGTCACACGACATAGCACAAGTTAACCTTAGCTCAACTGAACAGCTGTTTTCTATCAATTTTGTTAATTCTTTTACAATGGCAGAATAAAACATGTTGGTAAGATAAATTTGTTGCAGCAGTATCACTTAGGGTGAATGTGGTTTTATGCATCCCTCATCAGGTTAGTTAAAAACTAAAGCGGGAAGCATAAAATAAAACCACATGTACCCCGAATGATACTGCTACAACTTGTATTATACAATTTGTATTATACATTACTGGAACCAAAAGAGTACTTGTGAAATTAACAATTGTGTTTAGAGGAAACTGGTTGAACACAGAATTTTAAAACAAATTTCATCTTTTCAAAAGAAAGTGTTTCTGGTTTTTTGGCCTGACAACTTATGGATATGATAAACAAATCACAAGCGAAGTGAGGTTTTCTCGCAAATGGAATTATCTGTTACTCACACTTTTACATAACTATATCTAAGCTTGCTCGGCAGTCAGTGACCTTGAAACACATTTCCAGCCAATCAGATACATGAACCAAGCACACACCTCCCAATCTTCACAACACAAGTCAAGTGATTATGTATCGGAAAATCTCAATAATTAACACACGTCATTATACTTGACAATGATTATCCCACAGAAACAAACTATGTTTCTTGATGTTACCGTGATACAAACTTGGTGTGCTGTCAGGACTTGCTAACTTGACTGGAAAAAGTTATAGCCCGACTGTTACAGTTTTGCCAAAAAAAACAACAGGTACAAAGTCCTCCGTTCTACAAAATAAATGGATACTTTCTGCTGTTGCCGTCGTTCCTTGAAATCTTCTCGATCCATTCCTGGCTAGATATTTACAGAGCGTCAGAGCAGACTTGTTCAATGACATGATGCAAACGTGTTCTCAGCCAAATGATGTTTACGAAACACACTTTTCGAGACAGTGTATTTGCGTTGGTTTTATCGACTATCGCGCTTTTCAAGGGAGACAACTCAGCGCGCGTCTTATATTGCAAGCTAATTAAAGTCAGCCAGTTCGCGTTTTTTAAGACTGCTTATGACACTATGATAAAAGGACATGCATACAATTTTCCATTTATTAATCAGCCCATATATCGTCAGTTGAGTGGTCATGTCGTTTATGTGTTTACGTTAGACGTGGCGGACGTCATATATTGTATTGAGATGGTAGTAATGCGATAAGTTTGTCTGACATTTATAGACAGAACCCAGCTACCGTAATGTTTTCGATATTACCGCCCGTGTTCTTTGAACACTTGTCTTCCCATATCTGCATATTTTGTTTTCCCACATTGCGAGGCATATTTAATTTTGTTTCAGTAAAATAGGTTTCATTATTTTTTTAGAAATCAAATGGTTGCTCGTTTTGCAAACAATAGTTGATTTTACCTTGATCTGCTTCACAGTTCTGATTTTTTCCGATTTGTGTAAAGTTTTCAAATTTGTGATTTAGAAAGTTTTAATCAGACATCACATAGCATCTTGCACCGACAGTTGATATAATATGAGCAATATAACGTGTCTTTATACCCAGTAAACATCTCGTCATGGCCTAATGTAATGTTAAAACCTCAGAATGTTAGAAAATAGGTAGGTTTATATAAGTACAAAATATTTAGCTTCTAATTGATTGATATTTTGAATATTACTTCAGATTAATATCATAATGTTCCACATGATAATTATATTGAGACTTTCATCCTAGGTTATGTATTATTAAACACTGGTTATAGGCCTATCTATTTTGTTTCAATTTGAAAGAGTTTCTTCAAGTGACTTATTATGGGAAACTTCAAAGAAAGACTGCATTAAAACATCAAATGTGTGTAAACAGAAAATAGGTTACTAGTATTGAAAAAGGTTACTATTTTTTATGACCTGGAGCACACTTTATGAGTCTGAAAGGATTGGAGTTTTTCGGTGTCTATTTATTTGATCGCTGTGCAGAGCTGTTATTATCCCCGTTAATGTGGCTGTGAAAATTGATTGATTATTTGGGAGCCTCTAGGATTTTTTTTGGGGGGGGTTAGTCGATATGGATGCCGAATCCTGTGCTTTTTGAGCCCGGGTCAGAGGACCCATCTGTGTAAATGTGGCACCAATTTGGCCATTTTCGTGAATGTATGTTAGTGTGGTGGATTTAGCGGTATTTGGATCAGTTTCTTTATTTAGTTTGGTGGAGAGAGATATGTTGATTTGGGGGGTTTGGAGTTTGGGTGTGAAGGTGTTATTTGGTGCTGTGTCTAGTTTTAAATTATTTAGGTTGTGTGTATTTAGGTAATTTATTATGCGATGAGAGATTGGTATTAATTGAGGGGTTTTGCGAGCTAGAGGTTGGAGTCTGGGGCTTATGTTGGTTTTAAGTATTTGTTGGATTTGTGGGTTTTGTTGGGTTGAAGCCCAGTAATTTATTGTTGGGTGTTCTCGGCGTAGATCCAGAGGTATTTCGCCTGTTAGAGCCTGTAGCGATATGCGCGGCGTGGCTTGCTGAGTGCGTGTAATTATTTTTAGTGCTCTATATTGAATTGAGTTTAGTTTATGGCTTAATGAGGAGTTTAAGGTGTTGTATATTTGGCATGGTTACAGGCCGGCAAAGCCACATTTCGAAAATAGATAGCCCAAATTGATGTGGCTCTCGCGGCAATGGTTATGGTTGCGTGATTGTATAATGTGGCTCTCGCGGCTATGCTGTCAAAACATGCTTTGTGATTCTAACAGGTTACCGTATATAACAAAACAAGGATAACATATTCATCAAAACTTTACATTGATGAATATGAATAGCATATGAATATCATAATGGATTTAATGTCATTACTGCAGATGAAGGAGGTCGCCAACGTGGTCAGCATATTCCATCTCACTCAGGTGTTGGTTCAGGAGCTGGATCTTGAGGGACGCAATACGTGCATCGATTGCCTTGTACTTCTTTCTTCGTGAAGGTTCTGACCACTGGTGAGAGACTCTCAGGACTGCAACCTCTTTGAGTGACTGCTCCCGCTGAAATAGCTTCACTACCTCGTAGATGTTCGGGTGGCACTTCTTGGTAAGTTTCTTTATCTTGTTGTGCCACCCTTCCAGGTGATTGTTCGTACGGTGGCCTTGGTTTTCGAAAGGGTTTCAAATCTCTGGCATGAAGGCCCCTCCTTGAACCCAACTGGTTGTCACGTAGTCCATGAAGGCAGTCACTTTAGGGCCAGCAGGAGAGTCAGCAATGGCATCAAGCCACACATCATCCACTTTGTCACGAGGTACTAGAGGGAGGGCAGCAGCTCTTCTCACCAGCTTCTTCACCTCCTCATCTTCCTTATAGTCCATCACCAGACCTTCTTTCTGCACCCTCCTCCAGATACATTGGCTGAAGTGAAAGAAACACCCTCTAACTAATGTCCCAGGAAATACATCAGTCACGGCATTGTGAGCTGCACGTTCAAATTCCAACTGAATTGTAAGTGGGGCAAAGTCTAGACCTCCTCTACTAGCAAAATCGCATAGGTACTGAAACATGTTGACAGAACACTCTTTTGTTCGATTGGACAACAAACAGTAAACTAATGGAAACATATGGCCAAACACCTCAGCATGTAAACAATAAATCTGATCAAACAACTTGGGACAGGCATAAAATGTACCATCACAAAATACAATGTCTGCAGTAAATGTGGGACACTCATTTAAAGGTATCGGTAATCGGATTAATTAATTACCCGCTAGAATAGTTGAAATGCACTCAGCTGAAAATGTGGCTCTCCCGGCAATAGCCATTTCTGAAATGTGGCTCTCCCGGCTAGACACCATTTGGCATCCATAGTCTATTTTTTTATATCTAATTAGTGATTTGTAAAGTGATACTAGGGTCTCCTTGGAGGCCCCCCGGTTTGAACCTGTCAGGCAGCGTAGTGTGTTTAGGTCTTCAGTGCATCTATTTGTTAGGTTTTTAATGTGAGCACCCCAGGTGAGTCCAAGAAATTTGGTGTCTTTTTGGAATTGTATGTTTTTTTTGTTTGATTGTAGTTTGGGGGTGTTTGCACGCTTATTTCTGTGTTTGCATACTATCCCTGTAGTTTTTTCGGCATTTAGTGAGAAGCCCCATTTATTTGCCCATATTTGAATCTTACTTAATGCATTCTGCAGTAAAATTTTAGCCATATTTGTGCTTCTGGTGCGGATCCAGGGGGCTCCATCATCCACATATTTGAAATTTCGAATTTTATTGGGTATTTCCTTGAATAGGTCATTAATCATAATGTTGAAGAGTGTTTGGCTTAGAATGCTACCTTGGGGTGTGACATTTTCTAAGGGACACTGGTCGGATAGCGTTTGGTTGACACCCACGGTTATTTTGCAAATAATTAGGAAGTCTTAAATATCGTTTATTATTTGGCCTATGATTCCTGCTTTTTTTAGTTTTTGTATTAGCCCGTTATGCCACACCATATCGAAAGCTTTAGAGAAGTCTAGAAATATGCCTACTGTGTATTGTCGGTTTAGTTGACCCGTTTTGATGTCTTTTTCTAATCGACGAGGTTTTCTAAGGTTGAGCGGCCTGGCGTGAATCAACTTTGATGCTGGTTTTTTATATTGTTTTGGTCTAGATACTGTTGGAGTCTATTTTTGACAATTGCCTCCATGATTTTACATAAGTTTGAGGTACTTGATGGTTTAATTGATGGGCTATCTTTAGATTTGTGTAGTCTCGTTTAGCTTTATTAAATGTGCTTTTGCGGTTTTTTCTAGTTTTTCTAATTTCCTCGGTCCACCAGGGTACCGTGGTTTTGCCTATTATTGGTGTTATGAAGGTGATAGGGTTTTTTTCTATGTTAATTATGCATTCTGTTAAGTTTTGGCTGTTTTGTTCGGGGTCTTTATTTTTTAGATCTGATGGGTTGATCTGTTTTACATAGTGCTTTGAATTGAACACTGAGTGTGCCTTGTTGTAATTGAATTTTGGTTCTTGGGGTTCATTGGGGGTTTGGATATTTATGTTTCCTATGGTTATGTGGATTGGAAAGTGGTCGCTGCCGAGTGGCTCCTCATGCACTTCCCACAAAGTGCTTTGGGCGAGATCAGGGGTACAGATTGTTAGGTCTGTAGCCCACATATTTGGGAACTTAACCAAATCTGTCTGTACTGCCAGTTGATACAGAGATAGGTTGTACTTATTAGTGTTGTATGTTGCATAGAGTAAAACAGCACTGCCATACTTTTCAAGCATTGTCCTTTGCCACTGTGTTGACAAGTAAGAAGGTGTTACCCGAGGTGTCGCTAAAATTTCAAGATACCTTTATACACAAATATCTTTACAAATGTCAATTTATCAAAGGCTGCATGCCATTGTATCCCAATTGCCTGAATCGATGCTCATGATGTCAGTCACTGGATTGTCTGGTCTAGACTCCATTTTTTAAGGGGTGAAACAACAAATGTTTAGATAAACAAACTTCAATATACCAAACACAGTGAAGAAAGAAATATGCTTGCAGCACTGGTCTATAATAGTTACTCTACTAAAATTCTTCATTTTTGTAGAAGTACTCCTTGCATTGTAGCCAGAGGTGAATCAGGTCGTTGTTCACTGTAAGTTAGTCAGTGTATGGAATTATTGGTTGCGGTTATGGTATCAGAAAACTAATATTATTCTCAAAAGGTCGTTATCAATATGATTTGGCTGAAAGTGAACGTAGATGCTTGGCATTACAAGTAAAAACGGATGGATGAATCATAATGTTTACTGTTAAATCTTTTTCAAATGTATTAAAAAAAAAGGTGCATCTATCCATGTTAGCATATGTGGGTCACATGTGACATCACTTTATATGTTTTGTATATCTTCAATTTTAACATAACGAATATTGGGGGCACGGGTGGCCCAGTCGTCTAAGGCGCCGCGATTCGCTGTGCTGAGTTGCCTCCCTTGGGCACGCCAGAAAGCTATGATTGTGGGTTCGAGTCCGGTTC